CACCAACAGAAAGGTTCTTCCCCATTTCACACTCTTTACCATTGTTAACTATGATGAATACAAGTTACTGCACAGTGCTTGTGTAACTTCTGGTTTTCCCCCCACTGTAATTTTTAGACTTCTTTATTTATAACAAAATAAATGACATAGGTTAAAAAAACACAATTCCTTAAATCCATGAAAGTATTTTTGGGGGCGCCTGGGTGGCTCAGTCAGTTAAGTGCCCAACTTCGGCTTGGGTCATGATCTCCTGGTTCGCGGGTTCGAGCCCTGCGTCAGGCTCTGTGTCTCCCTCTGTCTCTGCCCCTCCCCTGCTCCTGCTCTGTGTCTCTCTCTTTCAAAAATAAATAAACATTCAAAAAAATTAAAGAAAGTATTTTTGGTCAAAGAAACATTAAAAGGACAATTCTAAAACCTGCACTGGGCCAAAAACAAAGCATTCACAATTCTAAAACCTGCATTGGGCCAAAAACAAAGCATTCCTTTCTCCTCGACTCCTCCACCTCCTTAAATACACCTTATGACATTTTATCAGAGTGCTGATCTTAATGAATATCAGAGAGAAGGGAAGTCCTGGAAGATCGGGTCAATTTTATATCTGTAACAAAACATGCAAAGTTCAAAATGATGAACGAACAACTTCAAAGACAAACCCATTACCATCTCTTTTCGATAAAAGACAACTTCATCTAGTCAACTGGACTTGACTTGTCTAGGTACCTTAAACCAGTGGTTCTCAAACTGTAGCCTGCATCAGAATCACTCACAGAGCTTGTCAAAACACGGATTCCTGGCCCCATCCCCAGAGTTCAGTTCAGTAGGTCTGTGCAAGGGTCTAAAACTTTGCATTTCTAAAAAGGTCCCGAGTGATGCTGATGCTGCTGGTCTGGGGAACACATACTTTGAAAACCACTCCTTTAAACTAGAGACACCCAGTTTTTGTTGAATTTTTCTCCAGAGATCTCAACAGGAATCTCTGCAGAAAATACCGAGTCTGGGAGACCTAACTAATGCTTAAACTGCTAAATTGCTCTTTGAAATAATTTATCTGAGCTAAGTTGTTACATAGTTCAAAGTAATTCTGTGTAGAGTTGTGTATCTGCAGCTTAGAATTCCAGACCCCTTGAGGTGCCTGGGTGGCTCAGTTGAATGTTCTACTTCAGCTCAGGTCATGATCTTACTTATCTTGAGTTCAAGCCCCACATTGGGCTCACTGCTGTCATCACAAAGCCTGCTTCAGATCCTCTGTCTCCCTCTCTCTCTCTCTCTCTCTCTCTGCTCCTCCCCCCACAAGGTGCAGGGGCTGCTTCATAGCGGTCTCTGGAAAAAGGCCATTTGTTCTTATTCCCACATTAGTCACTTTATAATATGAAAAATATAAGCTAAATCCTGATGTGTTCAAATTCAACAGATCTTGGCCTCAGCCTCAAAGTTTTCTGGAACTATTCTATGCATGCCTCACAAGATTTTTGGCTAACAGTTGCGGGGGGGGGGGGGG